ATGACAGTGTGTCATATAGTGATTTGTGAACTGCTGTAACCAGTTGTATAGAGGTCCAGTAAATTAATCATCAAATCCAAAAACCCGTCTTATTAGTCAAGCAAACTCCGGATACATGATAATATAAATACTGACAATTTCAAACAAAAAAGCAAATGTGCTTGATAATAAATTTTGAAATTTGTGACAATGGTACAATAGTACAAATATAATGTTTTTGGACACTATCCACTGTCTTATTTCTTCTAAAAACTATCCTGTTTATTTTTCAAAACATAACTTTTCGGAGACTGTATTCCGTCTCCGTCTTCAGGTAAATCATACTCGGTTGGGTCCAATCGATAGAGCTAGTCCCTATCTCCGGACATTGATAATGTGACTGAAACAAAATCGGCCAGTCTCTCTTCATAAACATATCGGTTGAAGATATGAAATTTAATAAGGATGAAATTTGGAAATAGGTGTGCAAAATATATTTGTTGCCCAACATTTGATGATAGGCAAAGGAACACACATCATAGACTAACGTCACAAGTCTGAAGGAGTGATTCAGACAAACTTTGTAGATCTGCATTTGTAAATATGCTACATTGCTATCTGTGAACACAATGGTTTTTGGAGTTTCGTTTCCATAGTTATACATCGTTTTACACAAATATACATTCAAATAACACAAGGTCACAGAAGTGACTCAGAAGAAACCTGTATAAAACTGTCATAAATATATTATATAATAGTATGAGAAAGCAATGGCTTGTGAAGTTAGACAGGCTTCAATTTTTTTTGTCCCAGAGCCAATGTTAAATTACTTACATGGACCATGTCATCTTGAGAAACACTACTTTAATTACCAAGGAATGTACTTAAGAACGTCACGACTAAGGAATTCTTTAAAATAATATGACGCATGTGACCATTGATAGACAAAGAAGAGGTAAACAATTCTACGAATTGTTGAGAGAGTTGTTTTCTGTGTGGTCAGTGCTGTGACTCTTTGCTAGGCAACTACTTGGTCACACGCCTCTAGAAAAATATGGGAGCTGTGTTGAGCTGTGTTTTCTTTGCTGCATTGTCCGTGCCTCGGCTATATAAGAAAGAGAGTTTGAAGGAATAGCAGAACCATAAACATTTTACAATACTCGTAAAATTGAAAATACAGCAGCGTAACAACAAAGCAACAGTTTTCATTTTTAATACTATACATTTGATGATGGCCAGTTAGGGCGAAACATATTGTTTTAAAATATATTAGTGATGCTTCTTAAAATATCAGTTTTTGCCATGCTTAACTGCAATCAATTTAACTGTAAATTCACTTAAAATCTTGCGAATTGATTTTAATGTGGCCTGCATCAATTAAAAATCGAGGGGTACAAATTATCGAGTAAAAACTTCAAGTATAAACACGAACTTTGGCTAACATGAATAGAGAAATCTTAAGAATTAATTAAATATGGAAGCTAAAACGATGCAAGCTCAGTAGTTTGAGTCCTAAGAAGGTGCAAGGCCATTGTTTCTAGGCTCTAATTTTTGGTGTACACTAACAATTCCATCAAAAACTTCGTCGATCCTCATTAAAAATTCAGTTCATTTTTAATTTATACATCTTTCTCATTAAGGTTAATATGTGGTGGTTGTAGGAGACAGTTTTATTCAGAAGTAGGAAGCCAAGTAATCTAGTATGTACATATTTACCACTGATTCGGAGGAAGATGCTGCCTCTCTCTTAAGAATAGAGAAGTCAAATTTTATAATTTCGTAAGAAGTGTATAATTCGGCACAGTCATAAATATCTAAAACATCTGCCAGAATTTCCAGAGGTTTCATAATGTCGTGAGCTTCGAAAGTGCATTATGAATGTAACAGCTAGGAACATTATTATCAACAGCCTGTTTCATAAAATATACATAATTTTCATTACAGAAGCAGTCTACTATATAAGATTATTATTTTAGGACTTTTCATAAAACAAGTACACTATCTATTATCTATCTATCTCTCTGTCTGTCTCTCTGTGTGTCTGCCTGCCTGTCTACCTGCTGCCTGCTTGTCTGCCTGTCTGTCTGTCTGTCTGTCTGTCTGTCTACCTAGATGTGTACATGCCTGTTGTTCCCACTTGAAGCACAGAACATCCGCGAAAAGCTTCGTTTCACTTCAGCCTCTTAATCTTATAGACACCGGTAGGGCTCCTAGGACGGGGGATCAGCCCGTTGCAAGGTCGCTACTTACATAAGACACTTGACACACAGAATAAACAGAAAGAGACAACCATGCCTTGAGTGGGATTCTAAGTTCGAAAGAGCGAAGACAATTATTGTCTCAGACCGCACAGTCACTGTGGTCAAACCTATCATTAAGTTATGTCTATGATAATCAGATTATTTCTTATGACACTTCATGCAGTGCCATGACCTCTCGTCATGCTACACACGCAGTTGTGTTCATTACCGGTACTTTTCTGATGTATCGTGACTTATCATTCCATTGCACAGCCAGTCGGTTTACTTTCATATACAGCTCGCTCCATAATACAGCGAAACTTTTTACTACGTCATATATATGTACAATCAGTTTCATTCCCATTTAGCACTTTTCATAATACTCGTCTCTTTTTTTCGTTACGGTACTTTTCTACATTATCAACGCTTCAGTTAGTATCTCATTCTAGACCTATACAGAGTCGGATTTTAGGAGTACTGGAGATGAAGATATAAAAGGAAGTGGTCGTATCTTGTTTTGAGGTACCGCTACAGCATTAGCTTGCAGAGACTGGGAAACACAAAGAAAACCTCAATCAGTGTAGCCGGATTTCGGATCGAGTTCTTTATCTTTACAGCATAGGTAACAGGTGGAAATGTAAGTTATGATACTTCTTATAATCTCACTGTGTTCAGTGCAGCTATAATTCTGTTGTGGTTTTAATCATAATAGGATTTTATTCTTTATGACTGAACATTTTGTCGAATCATGTTGCTATTAAAGATATTTCATATTCTGCGTGTGATTTGCTGCCTTGTCAGACATCTTATAGATCCAAAGACGATTTTAACATATTGCTATAAGGCGACAGACGCGTCTAGTAGATTCATTTATGGAAGAATAAGTATGACATCATAGAAGGTGAATCTTATGAGAACTGCTAATTTTGCTGGATAATAACCATTTTAATTTTATGATGCTTGAAGTTGTCACGGCTTTGGCTAGGATCACTACCTTCTGGATGTCGTGAGTCGAAAGTCTGCCAGACAGATCCATCCGAAATGTTGGTACCTATCTACCAAACCGCAAGTCTCAAATTATAGGACATCAATGTTCACTTTAATTTTGTATTGCATTTAATTTTGGGGTTATTTTTGGACACTTCATTAGACTTATATTTGAAAAGAATTTTGTCATTCCGGAAAATGAAAAAGAAAAATTTCGAAGTTCGATGAAATATACTTGCCCGGAATTCGCCTGCAAAGGCTGAAAAAAATTACAAGGAGCCTCAGTTGAAAATTTAGCCGAGATTTTGAAAGAAAGGATCTCGAGAAATCAAGGCTAGCTTTACATGCATACCGGTCTGCTTGTTTAGGTTTCCAAAGTTTATTTCTTGTATGAAACGTGTTCTGTAGGCACTGTATGACAGCAGAGTATATCTTCCCATCATGCTTTTGCGTCCGTAGCATACGCCTCGTGCGTCGTTCAGGGAAAAGGAAGCCATCAACAACACAGATAGACAAGGCAATCTTTTAAAAAAAACAGCTGCATGACATGTAAGGGACTTTCCCATGAAGCATATTCGTACGTTTTACAAACCTCTACCTTCGTCCGAAAATTCGAACTATATTCATAACATGATCTCTAAGAGCGATTTGATATCGCACGTAAACAGGAGGCGACACAAGGCACACGTTACAGATTTTCTTGTGGGAATGTATCCCCATTCTTCTAAATTCCTGACATGAGGCAACTGGACATTAGTCTCTTTCCAGAGTTAAAGGAACCCCCACTTGAAAGAGTTTCGGAAATGTGGAAGGGTCTTCTGCAAGGGAGATCAGTGCTATGAGATATTACAGCAATGGAAACATGCTCACAAAAATGCAAGTTTTTTTAATGCTAGTGGGGTGGGACTAAGTTCCTTGTACTGAGGCCACTTCTGGCCTATTGTACCAGCCCCAGATGATAGGTGAGGGTGATTGTGGAGCAACTGGTGGAATAAAGATTGGCAGGGGAAACCGAAGTACTCGGAGAAAACCTGCCCTGACGCCACTTTGTCCACCACAAATCCCACTTGACCAGATCCGGGATTGAACACGGGCCGCCGCGGTGGGAAGCCAGCGACTAACCGCTTGAGCTATGGCGCGGCCCAAAATGCAAGTCTTACGAAAGCCCCTCGGAAAATGTCATAAGACAGATTGATGATTACATTTAAGGAGTTAAAGTTTATTTTTAAAGAAATATTTATTTTTGGAACAAGTCTGAGGAACTAAACGTGTTAGAAATTACGAGTACATAATGTGGCATATTTTAATTTTTGTTTAAAGCGTATGGAGGAAGTGGTAATGCACAAAGATTTTAGCCTGAGAACCAGAAGGAAAGGGCACAAAAAATGGAGGAAAATTGTGTTAAAATAGATATGAAGTTTAGAATATAAGGATTTCGACCGATTTCAGGTGGCTCAAAATTGAGTAAAATTGCGTGCTTCCCTGGACACGGTATGAATTCTGTTTTTCATACAATCTGGAGATTTCTGAACCTGCTAAATTACTTTCACATTCTCAGAATATTATTTGTTGTGTGGAGTCAGGTATATTACTTTGAGCCCTTGTACATAAAATTTTATTATGCCAGATTACCGAAGTTTTAATTTTCCTTCTTTATAATGAGTGACACTGAATCCCTTGGTATTTAAACCCCAAAAAGGTCAATTTCATCAGGCTCGGATGATAAATGAGAGCTGAATAATTTGGTGAGGCAAGAACTTGCAGAAGAAACCGAAATACTCGGAGAAAACTTACCTCAGTTCAACTTTGTCCACCACACATTCCACACGATGAAATTGGACAGAGTACGCCACGGTGAGAAGCCGGCGTCTAAGAGCCTCGGTTGTGGCACTGCCCCAAGCAAACATAATCGTAAAAATTTTCAAATATCACTTGTAAAATTTTACGTAGGAAGCTCTATAAACCTAACCGATTTCCAGAAAATAAAATGATATTTTAGAATTTAAAGCAGCTACGATTTGTCTCTTTTCAGACCTGGCTGCCCCTAGAAGAGGGATTTGAGCTCATTAACTGAGATAATAATTTCAAAGTGTACATGGGCTATGATACGGCCTTATTTCTTCAGTCAAATGTTAGGGACCATATCTTGCACAGAATAAATCCACTCTTCGCCATTTATACCCACTTTCACCTTCAGAAGTAGCCCGTTAAAATAACTGCTAGAAATAGCTACCAAACCTTCAAAGTCAATAGTGCGAGGGTATAAAAGATTATTAACGCCGTCCGGTGTGACTGATAAATGTTGTGTTCTTTTAATCTCTCGTCGTTTACATGATTCGTTCTGGGAGACCATCTTCAGAAGGATATTATCAGTACATTCGGAAAATACTATTACATGTATTGATAGTGTCATTGGTCGTTATCAATACATAACAGACACTACTATTACAGAGTATAGTGCACACATACCGGGGGCTCATTCTTCGGGATTAAAGCGACCGAGAACTGAAGCTGACCACTTACCTTCATCTCTCAAACGGCCTCCGTAGTCTAGGGGTAACGTTCCCACCTCATGACTCAAGGTACGCGGGTTCAAACCCGGCGGAGGTCGTGGAATTTTAAGGGCAGAAAAATTAAGGGAATAAGTCCTCCGAGAGGGACTTTAAGCCGTGGGTCCCGTGTCGTATATTTACGGCACGTAAAAGAACCTCATGTCTCTAGTAGACCTCTGAGCTAAATTTAGGCAATTTCCCGCCCAAGTAGTTTCCAACGCCTCCGGTAGATGGTGGAGCTTAGGTACCACTGTCAGAGGAGGGACGACCTCACTGACAGATAGGGACTAGCTATTAGATACCACTGCCAGTAGAAGGCCGAAACCTCGCTGGCAGAAAGGGAACAATAGCAAGCACCAGTACCTGTAGGGTATGGAGACAGTAGAAATTCAAAGGGGGACGCACAATAGATCAAACTGGTCGCGGTGCATGGGATAACCCACCCCCTCAATACTGAATACCTTCATCTCAGTGGCGAGTCTCAAAAGCAATGAGATTGGTGGCCTTGACCCATATGTCTCATGTTTCATATTGCTCCTTCAAATGCAGAGTTTAAGAAAGGGTGTAGCTATACTTCCGCTTCCAGTATGCAATAGTGCTTAATTAAGCACAAGGAACTTTTAATTTCTACCTTTTTTTTTCCTTGGCATTATAGCCCCAGTGGGCCTAGGCCTACTTCCATGAACTTTTCTGTTCACTTCGGTTTTTCTAGATCTTACACATTCGGTAGGACTCCTTGGGCGTGTGATCAGCTCGTCGTAAGGCCTCTACCAATACACAAACACAGAAAAACGCACACAAACATCCATGCCCTGAGTGGGATTCGAACACACGATCCCGGCTTCCGAGCGAGATAAGACAGTGCATGCCTTAGACCGCTCGGCTACCGTGACCTGCACTTTCTACCTTACTGTTCCGTATTTACCAGAACACGAAAATTAATATAAATATATATATGTGGCTATAAAATTATTTCAATAAATTCTCGACAATATAAGACTACGAAAAAATAATATTGTGGACTATAATGTCTTGCTATTAAGTAGCCTTGCTAGGTATTTATTTTATAGGGCAGGCTGACTCAAAGGTTAATGCTTCTGAATTTCATTTTGGTGGTGCTCATTTTGGATTTCGGCTCTGTCAACGATTACTTTTTTGAAAGCATCCGTCGTTTTCGTAAATAAGAAACAAAGAAAAAGAAACTCCGTGGTTTTAGTCCGCAAGCGAACTATACCGACGGAGCGATCGCCGTTTGTCAGCGAAGTTAGGGCCAACTTTAGCGGATAGAGAGAGTCGCCTGGTCAGCGAAACATATCCCCAAGGTCGTTAATTTCGGTTTTCTAGACCGGAGTCGCTATTTCTTTGAAATAGCTCCTCAGTTATCATCATGAGGCCAAGTGAACCCCGTTCCAGACCCACTACTTCTCAGAAAATCTGGTAACCCCGGGAATCGAACCCGGACCTTTGGATCTGTAGCCAGGAACTCTGACCACTAGACCACAGAGGTGGCCGGTTTTTCGTATATAACTTCAGGAAAATATCGAGAAAATTCTGTAACTTAAGATAGAATCTGTTCCTTCCAGCACTTTCCAATTCATTATGCACCACCATCATAACATTCGACTCAACGTAATCCGAGTTTCTGACAGCTTAACCATAATTAAATAAATAAATAGTACATAGATTTTGAACTATGGTCATATAAAATAAAGTAAGGAATAAAGCATTTGAAGAACCTGTAAATGTCCATTCAAAATACGCTATGTATTTCCACTCTCGTTGTGTAAATGATGTCCCATATAGCAAGAAGATGTCCTCTTGGCTGCCTGAACATCCTGGTCGTTTCCTCCAATGTAACTTGCCGTGTGCGTGTTGTTTACAGTCCATCAGTTATCTACAAGCGACTATTTCCAGAAATGACTCCGACCCCGTAGCATTCGTGTGGCGCCAGTGGGTGTTTATGTCACCTTCACGAAGATACAGAATAGATTTCACATTTGGAACAGTTGTAATTAAAAGTGAAGATTACTGTATTCTGAGATGTGGTGCCGTGCAGTCTGTCAATGGGTACCAATATTTGGAATTAGTCTGTTGCCACAGTTCCTCCTAATTATAAGCTGGTATCTCGGAAATTTGCCTGTCACGGTAGCAGAGCGGGCGAAGACATTTACTGCCTTCGCCCGCTCGGAAGCCAGGATCGCGAATTGGAATCCCACACAAGGCATGGATGATTGGTATGTGTTTATTCTGTGTTTATGTTGTCCTGTGTTTAGATAGAGGCCTTGCGACGAGCTGATTACTCATCCAAGGAGTCCTACCGTCTGTAAAATTATCATGAAACTGAAAATCAGAGGCCAGGGCCTTTGATTTTGCAAAAGTATTAAAGATGAGCAGCGACACACACAGGGAGCCTGCACAGAACGATACATGAACGGTGCTGGAATCAAGAAACAGCCGCTGCAGCACAAGTAGACAAGAGCAGGTGTCCCTGGTATTTAAAACTTTAAATTTTGAACTTTAAATCTTAGAAATTTTAAATTTTAAACTGGAATTCTAATATCACAATGACGCGCGTGTGTTGGCAAGATTTTAAATAAAACGGACTGGCTGATGATTTAGATTTTGGGTCGTGTGCAGTGTGACAGCTACGTAGTGAAAAATACACCTGATGATGGCCAAGTACGGCAGAAACATGTACTGTAGAGGAAGAAAAGACAAAGAACTACAAACAAATAAATTGTTGCATTCACGACAGCATTTATATTATTACATATAGAAGTGTATAGTGCAACAGGATGCTTAAATAGTATAATGTACTAGCGTAGTATATTTTTTGGGTCCATAATTTATGTCCTGATGTTTTAATATTATAATCCATAAGGAACAGATTTACATGTACTGAGAAAAGGAAATATAAAATTTATTTGCCTTAAAAATTAAAACCAAACTTCAATATTTCGAAAATATATGTTTAAAATACACGTATGAGTATACTTAGCACTCACTAGAAGTCGTCAATACGAGTATATCAAGCAGAAAGTGAACAACGAAAGCAATCATTAAGCTGCGTATCGTACGAGTAAATCAGGCTAGGTTATCACGGAAGAGTGATATGTATTAATTAAGAAAACGTTATGTTTCACGTCACATAATGCCAGTCTAGAATTTCTGTAACAGACTGAGAATATTTAAATAATTAATTTCTTTAAGGCCTTCAGAAGAAAGTGAGACTTCCCTGTCTCCTATACACATAAAACCTAGCAGACGATCTTAAACGCTTCTTCCTACTGAATCAGGAGCGGAATATTTGTTTTCAGCCGTTGTTATTGTCCATTTTATTGTGAATGTCGTTGATTTAATTCATTATTTCTGGCAGTACATTTGTTGTCCATTCCAGCTTTGTTAGAGACTGCTAAAATAAACTCCGTCGTTTTAGTGCACAAGCGAACTATACCGACCGAGCGAGTTAGTAGAAAATGTAACGGATAGAGTGTATCGCGTGGTCAGCGCAACGAATCCCCACGCCTGTTAATTTCAGTTTTCTAGACCGGAGCTGCTCCTCAGTTATCCTCACGAGGCTGAGTGGATCCTGTTCCAGACCCACTACTTCTCAGAAAATCTGGTAGCGCAGGGAATCGAACCGGGGACCTCTAGATCTGTAGCCAGGAACTCTGAACTCTAAACCACAGAGACGGTCTGCTACAGAAATATTAAATTTGCATGAATGCAAACCTAGTTAGTTCTTAACACCAATTACTTTTCTTTCTATGGCTCTGCAGTCCTTTGGTCCTTGGTCAATTTTTTCAAATTCTTAAGCCTATACACAGCCGGCAGGACTCCTTAGTCGGGGGACCAACCAGTCGCAAGGCCCCTACCTGTACACAGAACAACAAAAACAGAATAAACCCACACATACACCCATTCCTCGAATGGGATTTGAACCCACGATCACACTGTTGGAACGGACGAATACGGTTCATGCCTTAGAGCGAGTGGCCACTGTGAGCGGCTCCTTCAATTGACGTGAGTCATTAGTTATCTCTCTGAGATTCAGTCAGCAGTGAGTTGTTCCTCACAGATATTCATCAGTCAGACGTCGTTCAGAAGGAGTTCAATGTGTGAATTGTTATAATTGAATGTAATTGTAAAGAAGTGCCAATAAATCCAATCACCCAATCTAGAATACTTTATTCATAGTCACGCAAACTCCTTATACGTGTCAATATATTGCAATAAATGCTAGGATTAAAAGTGAATAACGAGTTTTAAGGAAGTAAAAGAAACAAGTTGTGTCCTAATTTGAGGTATTATTCAGGTACCTTCCTGAAGGAACTACGAAACTCCTTAGTCAGAATGGCCGGTGTGCTGGCACTGTTTTGAAACTGGGACTTTCCGTTTAACAAGATTATTAACCATCCGATTTTGAATTACTCTAGCAATTTATCCACACGTTCATTTTAATTGTTAAAAATTAATCCTTATGCACTACATATTGTGCTTTAGCGTCATATTATGTGTGGATTATGTATTACATCTTCCGTCATCACAAGTATGCACTACATTTAGAGCTGATAAATATCGCAGTTTAAATTAACAATCATTATATTCTAAATGAACGTTAATGAGATATGCTACGCAATCACACAACTTTTCAGTGCAAATCCTTCCATCGAGAAAGGAATTATTTTCATGAGAGTTTATGCCTACCGAATGGGAGACGGATAATGCGACATGGTGAATGTTTTTGTTTTTATTTCTTCTCTTTTCTTCTATTTTGATTGAACTGAAGCCTCTTTTGACGTCATAGACTCCTTGAATAATTTTAATGCAAATCTGCAATGCCCTTGTGCAATTAATTCACTAGGAGATATGAATAGACGATAGTCAGGTAACATCATCATCATTTCGCGAGTCCCGCCACATTGCAGATGATATAAAGATTCAGCCACTTCATAGCCTCAGACGTCCGACAAAAAATTCATTAACATCGCGTAATTACGTCGTATAAAAATCCTGTTTCTTTTTTAGAAACCTTGAAATGTGTTATATTGTGGCGTATTTGCCCCATGCAAGAGCAGCGGTTTATAGGTAATATAAGCACCAACGATGAAACAAAGAGGTTAAGCAAACCTCTTCTAGACTACGGCTCGATAAATACACTTCCGCGCAGGTGCAATGACGTCACACTCCAAGAGTAGTGACATATCACGTGACTTGTTTTCTGTGTGGTCTGCGCTACGCAATATTATAAATGTGTTTTCTGTGTTGTCCGTGCCTCGGTTGTATAACACGATTCCACTTACATTCCAGGAGAGATTTTAGTAGTGTTCTAAAGTTCCAGGATGATTGAACAAGGAATGGCAAGAAGAATTCATAATGATTTGGAGTGCTAGTTTCTGTGTTGAGATCCGTTGACAGAAGACGACTAGCGAAGACGGAGAATCCTAGTGGGTGTTCAACGGTAGACTGGAAAATGTGTTAATCAGCGATAACGTTGTATCAATTGTAATTAAGAGAAATTGTAAACGAAGGGCTAGTAAATCCATTCACCAGAGCTAGATCCCATTACTTTCGTCACGCGTGCCCCCCATACACGTGCCTATTTTATAATACAGCGTCTGTAATAATGGCATTTGTCTCTCGTTGAAGCTAGGTAATGTTAGCTATATCTCTGTCTTAAATTCTGTGGCCTCTGCTATTGTGCACATATCTTTGTACTTCAGATGACATGCAGAAGTAATTTCAAGAAACATAACCTTCCATTATTCAGTCAGAACATGTGAAACACAGGATACTCAAGTCACAACACACTTTTTGAAACAAGTGTCACTGTCAGTTCTATAAACAGTAGAGACAACTTAACCACCTGCATGGAAGGTCATATGATTTATGAATATCTTTGCTCAAGGCTTCTTTTATTCGTGACAAACATCCTTGACGATTTTCAATCTCCTTTTTCTTTTGCTTATAGTTTAACGACTCCTCTATGTAATAGTAAACATTTTAGGAGATATAAATGAATACTTACTTACTTGCTTTTTTTTCGCTTAGTGGGGCTGGAGTCCAGCTGGGTCCACTCGGCACAGAGGCCACTAATTGGCCTGTTGTACGTGCCCCGGGTGATTATGATGATGGAGAATTTGATGGAATGAAGATTGGCAGGGGAAACCGAAGTACTCGGAGAAAACCTGCCCCAGCGCCACTTTGTCTACCACAAATCCCACTTGACTAGACTCGGGATAGAAACCGGACCGCCGCGGTGGGAAGTCAGCGACTAACCGCTTGAGCTATGGCGCGGTCTACTTACTTACTTACTTATTTATTCATGGAGCCGCCCATTCTGCAGCTACTGTGTTCACAAATGCTCTCCACTGGTCCCTATACTGAGCCAAATCAATCCAATCCATACCATCCCATCCAATCTCTCTTAGATCCATTTTAATATTTTCCACCCACCTTCTCTTTGGTCTTCCTAGTGGTCTCTTTATTTCTGGTTTTCCCACCAATATCCCATATGAATTCCTCTTCTCCCCCATTCGTGCTACATGCCGTATCCACCTCATCCTCCTTGACGTGATAATTCTAATTATACTTGGAGCAGCGTACAAGTTATGAAGCTCCTCATTATGTAGGTTTCTCCTATCCTCAATCACTTCATCTCTCTACGGTCCAAGTATTCTCCTCAGCACCATGTTCTCAAACACCCTCAGTCTATGTTCCTCCCTTAATATCAGAGACCAAGTTTCACACCCATACAGAACCACAGGCAAAATATAGTTTTGTATATTCCAATTCTTATGTATTGGACAGCAGACGAGAAGATAGAAGGT